AAACGAATAAAATTGCGCCATATTCCTGTAATTTTTTTACACTTCACAATTAGGTTCCAATTGTTAACTATATTTAATGCATTGACTAACATTAACTAGCAATGAGCAATACATTTATTACAGTTTTTATTAATGTTTGTTAACATTAAAATAAAAATACAACTGTTCATTGTTAGTCCATGTTAGTTCAAGTATATTAAATAACATTAATAGATCCAAATTTAAATTTTAATAATATATTAGTAAATATAGGACTCAATGTTCAAATAAGATTAATAAATGCTTTAGAACAAATTTTTAATTGATAGTTCATGTTAACTAATGTAGTTAACTAATGTTAACAAATGGTATTTTATTGTAAATTGTATTTTATTGTGAATTCAAAAAAGTTTGAATTCAAAAGTCACCATCAAAAAAAGTCATGAACCTTTAAAAATAAACCCAAGAAAAAAAAAGGAAAACGTAGAATTTGGAGAAAAACAACAGGGCCCTAAAAATGTCATTTTTGTTAAACATTTAATAAACCGTCGTTAAATTGTGTAAGTTCTCAATTAATTAGAGATGCTTTTACAGAAAACAGAATCCAGAAAAAATTGAGGGGAAAAAGATTTCATGGAGCACTGTGCATGTCAGTGAAAAGGTCATTTATAGCTCCAGACAGCCAGAAATTCAACATGCATGAACTCTGGGATTGGGCTCATATTGAGTTCTGGACAGATATTTGCTGCAGTGTAGCGATTCAGAGGTTAGACGTGGGCTGTGTGAAGGGCAAAGTGGTACGAGGAGCTGTGGCCTTGCTGTGTGTGCTTGCTAGGCAGATCCGTGTGTTCATGTGTACTGTGTGAATGTGTGTGGGTTGATGAGGAGACGGCTCCACGCCCTGTGGAAGAACGTGGCTGCTTCAACCGCCTGTGCTGTGTCATGTGAGAAAGTCTCAGGAGGAAGTGGAAACAGATTTTCAGAGCACTGCTGAGTGCATCGCAACACACAACTAACACACATGGCATTCCCTTACAACACGCGAGTCAGGAAAACAAGAAACAGACAAAGGAAAAAATGAGGAAGAAAAATTATTCCACAATTATGACTTCTTACTATTGGCATAAAGTCATATAGAGGTCAACAGCAAATAAAAATCTAGGTTAAAATTTGTGCTAAGTTCTACATACTATAATTTGTTGGAAGTCACACAACAGAACCCCCCTCCCCCCAAAAAAACCTTGTGCCATAACCCTCCCAAACCTTGGCAAATTCAGTGACTAATCCTTCCTCATAAGTGTTTAATGTATCAGCCTAGAAACTGCCTCCTGGTGTAATTACAAAAACCTGTGCACACTGTCTCCAGGAAACAAAGTTTGCCAATCAGACTGCAGCTTTTGATAAAGTTGATGATTTTTTGCATGCAAAATGCAGTGGATGAGGATGTGCCTTTTTTAGTTATCTGTATGCTCTCATCTCACTGATGAGCGCCTGACTGAAGGAAAGATAGAGAAGATAAACAGATTTTTCACACCTCTGCGGCTCCCTCAGCTGCTTTCTTCAGACCCCAGCCATCAGCCGCCCATCGCTCGGCCACATTACGATCAGAGGTGATGAAGAAATTGTCAAAGAAGATATCAGAGGACATGGACCAGAGCTCCAGACCGACGGCGCTGATTGGAGCCATACGGAACGGGTGCAGGTCCTCAAAGAAGTCTGGGTTAGGGATCTTCCTGGGCTTCCACACTCCCTGGCAAATAAACAAACAATTAGACGTTTACATTTCCAGAAGAAAACACCCTTAAGTTTAGTACTCAGAGTTAGGGCTTTATTTAATTCAATACTCATAAAGCTCTAGGGCTGTCAAAATGGCTGAAAAAACGAAATTCGAATTTTGTACTTAAATATGATCAAAATTTGAATTATATTCGAATTTAAAAGGCATAATTTCAGTTAGGGTGAAGAAAAGCTTTTGGCTTCTCTCCTGAGGCCACAAGAGGGCGCATCAAGCAAAATATTACTAATGCACGTTTATTAGCATAATGTAACATGACTATCTGTGAAAAAGTGCATAATGTTTAAAATTAATAAATTAAAATTAATAAACATTATAAACATAAATGCAAGTGCAACTTTTCTTATCTTAAGGATGCAAAAGGCGTAGAGGAAACTCACGGCCTGCCGTCTTCAACCTGAACCCCGATGGACTGGAACCTGGTGGTGGGAGTTTGTTCCTCTTTCAGAATCGGCTGCACACAATCCACCTGCCACAAGAGAAATAATTCATCGAAAAAGGATCCAATAATTCTATTATTACAAATAGCTATGATACAACTCAAAACTCCCTCCCTAGTTCACCCAGAGCATTTAATGACACTAAAATACAAAAACCTCTCATTCAGAATTAGTCACGTTACGTCGCATTCATGAGCTCATTAACATATGACCGCCCACATTTACATATTTTAACAAATTAGCCTGAATGACAGTATGAATTAACTGCACATATAAGATCAAGATGATTTCTACACATAACAAAACAACAGACAATATAAACTACTTTATAAAACATTATTTCATAAAAAAACTAAAAGAATTGCATAAATATACTAGTAACATTTTCCAAACATAACTTAATGATTTTCTATTAAATTATCTATTAATATAACATTATATTATAAATAATAATATATGATGCTATATATTAATATAATTCAAAATATATTTTTTAAATTGTACATTATATAATTTTACACGACCAATAAAATTTTATTACAGTCATTGTTTATATTTATTTTTTTAATTTTTGTAAATAAATAGTTTTGTAATTAAATAGTTAATAAAACAAACAACAACAAAAACGTGTGTGTGTGTGTATATATATTTTTTAAACACCAAACAAATTACTACATAACCATTGCACTTTATTTTAGCATTCACTTTTTTCTGCTTTTATCATTATCAATCCAAAGACTGACTAATGCTAAAATAAAATACAACGGACATTTAACAATTAGCTTGGTGATTTAATGATTAATTAAATGATTTTTGTGTTTATTAACCAATTAATGATTTAAATGTTTATTTCATCAAGTAAATTGGCCATTTCTTGTAGTTTTACTGTAATCAAATTACAATAATAAATTGTAAAAACTTTTTTTTACTATAAAAAAATTGACTATAAAAAAAAGAAGTCTTAAACGCACAGTAACAAAAAAAGCTTATTTCAAACAATGCGTTCACACTAGGGTTGGGTACCGAACTCGGTACTTTTAAGGGTACCGACCGAATTACGTCGGTACTACAGAGTATTCGCGAGAATTTTACCGTTTCATTTGAGAAAACTAGCATCATCATACTGTATACACACAGAAACTTCATGGCAACCTGTCAAAATAAAAGTACGGTTTAACATGTAACAGAAATATATTACTCTTGTATTACTTTTGTACAGTATAATGTACATCTTTAAATATTCCATTTTCTATCAAATGTAAATAAAACAAATGATAGAAATAAATATTACAACCAGATTAATCACTTAATTGTAGAAAAAAATACAATTATTAGCCTATTAAAAAATGTTTTAAAGTAATATTCACACAAGTTTTCTTCCATGTATTAATTTCAACAGTAAACCTCAGTTTGTTTGCCAAAAAATAAAAGGGTTTAATTTTCATTTGATTTAAAATAAATGTTTAATGCCTTCATTTGATTTTCAGAAAAAATAAAACAAGAATTTCTGGGGGGAAAAAAAAAAAAAAGAAAGAAAGAAAAAGTTTGTAGGGCCCTATTGTTCAAAATGTTGAAATTGAGACTGTTGGACTTTTTTTTTTTTGTAATTACACAGAGAGTAAAGTACCGAAAAAAGGTACCGTTGGGTACCGGCACCGAAATTCAGGTACCGATACCGGTACCGTACCGGTTCAAATGTGAACAGTACCCAACCCTAGTTCACACTGATGATTTGCAACAACTCAACCAGAAGTCGCTTTGACTCCAAATGAGCAACTACCAGAGAAGCAACAAAGCGGAGTTAAAACTCATGCAAATGAGCAGCAACTACCAATGGGAGTGAGGTCACATGACCTGATAGTGAATACGTCATCCAATAGCATAAAAACATCACGACGACATCATTAATATTCCTGTACACACCTGAATGCCAATGGACGAGAGTTTTCTCTTGGGCAGGGCTTGCAGTTCGCCAGATGCCACAGTGAGGCTCGCGGGCTCGTTTTTAGCGTATGGGGCGGGAGAGGGCGGAACGATGGCGGGAGGAGGCGTGGTCACTCTCGCGCTGGGCAGGGGCACGGGTTCCCGCGGGGCGGGGATGGGGGGCAGGATGGGCGGCCGCTTGGCCTTGACCAGACTTCCTGTCCGAGAGCTGGCGATGCTGTCGGAGGAGTTGCTGCGTCCTGATTGGCTGTTGACCTCGCTGCGCTGGTCCTGGCTATCCAGGTACGTGTCCTGGGCCGATTCAGTGCTGCTCTGGACCGTCACCGAGATGTAGGGTTTGGAGGTGGTGCGAGGAGGAATAGGTGGAGGATTCTTCTTACAGACCGCCGTACACGTGGAGACTGAAAAACACAGGAAGATGGACTGTAAGAACGTTCCCACAACTCCAATACAAAGTCTCTTCACACGTCTTTTCCCAGCAGCCCCTGCTTGGGAGCCACAGGAAGAGATGAGACAAAGCCAGGCATTTACATGCTCAAATCTGCACAGCATTCCTCTCATGCCGACTGATGGCAGACTGCGTCAGGAATGTGTCGCCCATAAAACATGGGCTGAAATCTGCTGACGAGACTCGGGGTTTGGTACGGTGTGTCATGAAGCCCGATGATAACGCTCACTGGTGTATTATTAGCCTGCTGAACAGTGTAGGAGAACCTGCTTTGAAAGCGTACAAGCGAGTAGGCGGTAAGACCAAAATCTATTCCACCATATGAGTCATTTTATATCACCATACAGTTATTTCTGCTGGAAATTATATACGTGTTATATTATGAAATTATGTAGGCATAGCCAAAGTTTGATAATCTAGTGGTTTAAAATGCTTAAAAAAAAAATCTGAATCCGATTATTAGTACAAATTGAATGGTAAGTCTGACATGAGTGCACAAAAAAAAAAAACTCAAAACATCACAAATATTGCTGGATGAACCATATCCGACGCCACTGTAAAAATAGATAATATACATAACTTCACTTTACTGAAGCGTAAAAAGAAAATATCTGCAAACTACTTTAGATTATTTTAAATTACATATATAATTTTTTCCTGGCAATTTATATATATGAAAATAATGCTTTTTTTCAGCAAAGATGCATTAAATTGATCAAAAGTGACAGTAAAGACATTTATAATGTTACAAAAGATTTCTATTTCAAATAAATGCTGTTCTTTTGAAATTTCTATCTATTAAAGTAAATCCTGCAAAAAGAATATTACAGTTTTCACAAAAATATTTTTTCAACACTGATAATAATCAGAAATGTTTCTTGAGCAGCAAATCAGCATATTAGAATGATTTCTGAAGATCATGTGACACTGAAGACTGGAGTAATGATGCTGAAAATTCAGCTTTGATCACAGAAATAAATTACATTTTACAATATATTCAAATAGATAACATCAATTTTAAATTTCAATAATATTTCACAATATTACTATTTTTACTGTATTTTTGATCAAATAAATGCAGCCTTTGTGAACATAACAGAATATTAAAAAAAAAAATCAAAATATTTAAAAAATATTTAAAAAAAATCTTGACTCCCAACTTTATATGTATCGGAAATCACTGCACTGAAAACAGTATTAAACAGTGTGAATTCACTTGATGAACTCTATTTTTTAACTAAAAAATGTTAAGTTAGCAGCATTTCTATATATTTTTATAATTACTGTCCAACACTGTTGATGACAGATCAATTTTATAGGAGTTCTGTCAACACTGAAGAACAAAGTTGGGATAAAATACTACATTCAGTCAACAGTTTTGCGACGAGCACAAAGACTCATTTAACCGCACGATCAGGGCTAATATCTGCCCTCCCTCAAGAGATAGAACTGTTCGTGAACAAGTCTCCTCTGTCTTGGCCGTGCTGTATAGAGGACTCAGTGCCAGGACAAGTCCAACGCGGGACTGTGGGGCTCAGAGACAATATTGGATAAATCTGTTTCCTCGCTCTGGCACGGCTGGCTGGCATTGTGCTTTGAGCGATGTGCTCACCGTCTGGTGCCAGGACAGATGCTATACAGCAGTCTATGACCATTTGATGGCCAATACAGATGACATGGGAAGATGTGATGACAAAGAGCCAATCTAAATACAAAAGAGTAAAAAAAAAAGCATGGGTGCCGTCAGAATGAGAGTCCAAACAGCTGATAAAGACATCACAATAATCCACACCACTCCAGTCCATCAGTTAATGTCTGGAGAAGACAAAAGAAACAAATCCATCAAGACATTTTTAACATCAAACTGTTGCCTCCAGCTAAAATACAAGTCCATAATCCATAATAACGCTTCCTCCAGTGAAAAAGTCATCTCATCTGAATCAGGAGAGAAATTTGCACAGATCAAACACTATTTACAAGCCAAAACAGCTCTAAACAAATATGTGGCTGGATTTTAATGTAAGAGGAAAACAGGAGATGGACTTTTTCACTGGAGGAAACATTATTATGGATAGAGGACTCATATTTTAGTGAGTTACGGTTTAAAGTTAAAACGTCTTGATGGATTTGTTTCTTACAAACATGCAGCTTTTGGCTTCACAAGACATTAACTGATGGACTGGAGTGCTGTGGATTATTGTGATGTTTTTATCAGCTGTTTGGACTCTCATTCTGACGGCACCCATTCACTGCAGAGCATCCATTGCTGAGCAAGTGATGCAATGCTACATTTCTCCAAATCTGATGAAGAAACAAACTCATCCACATCTTGGATGGGATGACCTCAGGGTGAGTAAATTGTCATTTTGGGTGAACTGTTCCTTTAAGGAAAACAATAAAACCCACAGTAACAAAAGCGCAACGGTTAATTATTCCCGCTGACAGCTATTGAACGACTGACTTCAGCTTGGCTTCTCCGAGATGTAGTGGCAATTTAATTAAACACTTTTATAGTGAGAACAAATCTCAAAGCAGCACCAAATTAATCACATCTTCTCGACCTCCCTCGAGAACTTCAACAGTGGTGAATGAAATACAGTAGAGTTTGCTCTTAACATTTAGTACTTTGCACTGAGGGTGATATGAGTTTATGACACAGTTGTGGCTCAGTTCCAGATTAACAGCATTAGAGCCAGTCGCTCGGCCCCGGGGCCCCGGCCAAACCTCGCATGGCCTTTCTGTGAACACACAGAGGACAAGCACCAAAAATACGACCAGACCGAGGCACTGTGGCTTCTGTGAAACACAAAAGGAGAAATTCTGACGTATCTTTACACAACTCTTATTCATATGACACTTCATCGTGACCACATGCGTTAAAAAGCCATCGCATGACTTCAGAAGACACGAAATATACAGCATGAGTAAATGTGGACTAGTTTTATGATGCTTAACAGGCATTTTATTGCATAGATGATATTTAAATGCTTAGTTTTATTATAAAAAAGCTCTGTTTTAAAACAATGTAATGCAATACAATGCACGATCGAGAGATAAACATTCCTCAAAAGCCTGTTGGACGTTGTCTTATGCATAAGAACTAAAATTATTTTGTGCTGCAATGGAAAAATAACAGCATACAGGTTTAGAATTTACATGAATGATTAAAAGCATGTTGGAAATCAACAACTAAGTTCGCCACAATCACTTTAACCCTATATATATATTTATATATATATATATATATAATTTTTTCCTATGTCAGGCTTAACAGAGCTAAATGAGTAAAAAGTACCAGACTGCATTAAGAAAATAAAACTAGTTTTACTTTAATTTCAGAACATTATGTGAGTGAAATTGGTTTAAAGAGACAGCCATTATAAATCTGCCTTTGGTCCATACAAGCCATAAATGCAAAGACATTTAACAGACTACACTACACAGACAGAGCCCGTCCTTTTCAACCCATTCAAACTTGTAATCCTTATTAGGACGTGTTTTTAGATTAAGTGCACATCTTCTCTCCAAAGCACAGCCAGTGTTTACCAAGAAGAGAAGCAGTCTGCTGAAAGTAGGACAACCCAGTTTGTATGGCTGTACAAGTAAACTTCAAACATATAAATGCATTTCTCCATGCAATGGAGAGTAACTTATGTTTGGGTTTAGATATGAATCCTGCATCCTTTACATATTTAGCATGAAGAAGTAGAAGCAGCAAGAACAATGCATGCTCTCTTCAAATGTTATGTTATCTCTCCCTGACTTTGCAATGCAAACAATGGCATTCGACCTGATTCAAAACACAGAAACCGACCTTTGCGTGGGATTGGATTCAGATCTCACACGTGCAACGCACGAAACGCTCTAAAACAGCATTTTAGCATGAAAAAAAGTGCAAGCTGTCACGTTCAGGTAGGCAACGCTGTCATGCTTCGCCCGTCTAGACAGATGCATCAACATAAACACAAGCCACAGCCACATGCTAACGTGAGCTAACCTGCTAACTAATCAAAATATCACTGAATGAAACACTAAAGCGATCCACGGAAATGCATGTCTGGCGCTTAATCTCGCGGTTATCGTCGGATGTGTTATTATTCGTGATGTCCTCCGACCTCGAGCACATGCCAAAACCAGCGCTCGAGGCGCCGTGTACAAAAATCCACACACCTTTTCCTCTTCCTCTGTGTGTGAAGCGATCGCCGTCGACGGCGGCGTACTTCCATCGCGTCGCGTAAAAAAAAAAAAAACACGATTGAAAGGTTTTTTTGTTTTGTTTTTTTGTTCTGTGATGCTTCCGAACCCACCCGCTTTAATATCCTTCCGTTCAACGGATCCCCACCATCCACGTCTCGAGGAGTCGAGGAAAAAAGAGCCGATCCGATAATCCGCTTTCAGGACGCGGGATTGGAGAGAAACGCGCTCGAGGCGTTCACTCACCGCGCTCTCATTGGCTGGTGGGCGGGGCGTACGTGCTTGACGCGGTCGAATCAGAATCGCCGTCCGTGCGTCACACAGAATCCGCGCTTGCGTGCGCCTTCCCTTTTTCGTTTTAAAGGAGGAGCGTTTTAAAACCGCATTTTTGTAAATGTAAATGTTAAACTCGGAGTGCAATACTAATTATTGGCTACTTTCGTTTTTGTTTTTTTCCCCTCCGCATTGACTACTGTAACGCACTTCTTGCTGGGTCCCTAAAACCACACTCAACAAATGTATCAGTTGTTTATTATTCATATTACTGTTATAGTTTTCCTTAACAACCGTTGCTATATAGATAATAACTTTGTCTAGTGCTCTTATGAATGTTTTTAACATGACTTAGCATGAAAATTTAACTACTATAGGCCTACTGAATGAAGTAGCATAGACTTCTTCATTGCAAGTGTTTGCATATTTCATTTCATTCTCTGTCTAGCCTACAGATCTGTGTAGCCTACTAGTGTTAAATGCTAC